ATCTGGAGCCCAACGGTCGAGGCTGTAAACCCTTAGGTACAAAATAATTATTTTGTCTTTATCATGGATAAAGAAGTTTCATCAGATGATGCAACTGGGCAGAATTCGAAAGAATCTTCCCCGAAAAAACAGTTACCGGAACAACTTAGCCAAAATCTTGATGAAATGATCAAGAAGGCTAAACATGGCTCTGATGTAACAAACAAAGTTAATGCCGCAGATAAATTCTCCTCTTATACTTATAAGGCTGAGTTTGCTGATAGAAGTGTAGCCGAAATCGGTTGGTCATTAGACGTAGTTAAGCGTGTCGAACTCATCGACAGCAAGCTTAAACTAGTCGAAGATTTGACCGACGATTTGGAAATAACGGTTACCGACATGAAAGAACATTGGGATGATGCTTTCCGTCGCTACATTTCGCCTATGCATTACATAGCGAAATGTCTTGAATCACGTATTGATGATATACGTGAGGTGGCGTGTAAACAAAAGATTGGGAATACCCAATCCAAAAGCACTAAATGTTTAAAGAAGATTACCGTTTTACGTGAAATCATTCAAAGTTTAACGGAATATCAAAGAGAGTCTCGTCATTTTAAACCTTTGGTTTATTATGATGAAGAATGTGTAGATGAAGAGGAATTACCAGAAGAAGACGATTCTGAGGTAATTCCTTCGGTTCAGCCAGCTATATTCCATGGCGCTAACAAAATCCAAGAGATGTTGGATCAGCGCAATCAGAATATGGGTAATTATGATGCCAAAACTTCATCGCATTTATCGCAAGGTCAACAACGCCGGGGTCCTTTCGCTCCGCGACCATTCCCTCCACGAAAACTTAATTTCGCACGAGGGGAGGAAACTAGCTGCGACCTTGATGATAAAGAATTACCGTTAGCTTGGAGATTGCCTAAAAAGCCCTTAGCTGCTCATTTGGTGGTTGATATTAACAACCTTCAAAAAGCTAGTGCAATCCTTAAGTTTACCGGCGATATCCGTGATTATATGAACTGGAGATCCTGTTTTCTCGAAACAGTTCATTACAAGGTCAAGGAATCAGCCGCCCGAAAAATTACGGCATTATGCAATGCGTTGCCAGACGAGATTTTTGTAAAAATCTCTCGTGG